TGTAATCTTGTATTAATTTCCATTTCAAATAAAATTACTTGATAAAATTTAATATTTATCATATTTGATTGGGCAAACATTTTTGCAACCATACGATCTTTTGATGTTGAAAATAGCCTATTCACTGATATAATTTGTCCTTGACATTTTGTCATTTTATTTAATTCTTGATTGGATATTATTTGCCCGACGAGCGGGCGAAAATTCAACAAGTATACCAATTTGTAGAAAATTGTTTGCTCTACAAGATATGATGGCTTGTTAAGTTCGAAACTATTCTAATTAATGTGTATTAATCAAAACTAAATCAGAAAAATCGTCACGGTGTGACAAAACACGGTCAAAAGTGTCATACCGTGACGATTTTTCTGATTTATTTTTGATTAATACACATTAATTAGAATAGTTTCGAACTTAACAAGCCATCATATCTTGTAGAGCAAACAATTTTCTACAAATTGGTATACTTGTTGAATTTTCGCCTGCTCGTCGTCAGTCTTTTACATACGTTTTTCAGATAGCTCCAAAATCGATTTTTGGGGCCGTTTGTACAACAGCTGTATTTTCATAACTAATCAACATTCAGAGCCAAGACACTTTTCATTTTGTAGAAAAATGTTTAATCTACTTAATTATGTAGTTGCAATTTTAGAGTAGTTTGTAGCTTTACTGCAATAATCTTTTGAAAAAGAGCGATAAAAGGATACCGTTAGCTGGACAAGCCGAAGAGCAGATTTCCTAAAGCCGAAAATTGTGATTTGGTATCCGTCAGCTTTGCAGAAAGAAAAATTATTGCAGGGTTAATAGTTCTTTTGAATGTGAATTCTGTTGAAAAATAGAGAATTTTCCAGGTTTCAAAATTAATTACAATATTTTGTTTCAAAAGTTTATCCTCATAGATTTATTGACTAAATATTGCATGGATATTTCGCTTTTCCCTCAAACATCGAGAGGTCAAGATCTTGGATTCTTGAATCTTACACTCAAGATCTTAAAACATCTTCGCTTGCTCCACTCAAGGTCTTGGGAACAGAAATTTCAATTTCTGTTGAAAAATAGAGAATTTTCTAGGTTTCAAAACTAATTACAATATTTTGTTTCAAAAGTTTAACATGTCAAACTTGAAGAGTGATCCAGCACGACGATATCCACTTCGATAAATTTCTCTAATTTTCTTTACCGTGTGCCCAACTATATACTATTACCGATCTCCTCCTACATGCTGTTCGTTTCTAAGCATTGTATATCCTATCGACTCATGTCGATACCACATTTGGATCCATCAGATCGAAAAATCTCTATTCATTCGTTTTTTCGAAATTATACGTACCCTCATTTGCTGTTTTTCAGCTTGATCCTTGTTCTCTATTGGCAAACCAACCTGATTTCGAGGCAAATGTACTGTGGATTCAAGCTTGTCATTCTCAAAAACCCTGGGTCACACATCTTGCACTTGATCACAATCAAAATCTCCTGCTCATTGTATTCATGATAATCCAAAACGCTGCGTTTTGGCTGGTCAGACACAAAGTTCGATCTTCCGTAGACGCTGGATGAAGTTTTTTCGGCTGAAGAGTAGCCCGTGACCTGCTCCTGGATGCAAGGATGCTGCCTGGAAAATTTGGTTGCATTTGTTGCGTTGCTAAAGAGACGTATGAAGAACAGACAAACTTTTTTTCTTTATATATATAGATAATACTTAATTCCAAACTCACAAAACCCTCTCTGCTACTACAAACTTAACGATTAACCGAAGTCGAACTGTAGCGATGAATTTTGTCTTTAAATTTGGTTTTTGTTCATTTTTTCTATACAGTCATATTATTTGCCACCCAATGAGACTTTTGATTAAATGGAAATCCGAGTTGTGGTAATTTATTTGTTCAAACTCAACACTCTCACCCTGCATGTCTTGAGGACATATCTCTTTTAATGAAACTAAGTTTCTACGCACTAACATTGCAGCATGTCTCTCTCGAACACACAATTCACTGAAAATAACTATGAAAATATTCAAATTTCTCGTTTTTCCTTCTGCGCACTAACATAATGTCATGTCTTACGGATATTTTTATCTAACCAAAAAGAGCTATACCAGTAGGGTGTTATGAAACAATATTACTACGCAACACACATTCTTGTTTTGAATTGCAAAATTTCTTCTCGTCCTACGCATTCATATTCTTCTATACACACATATTGTCTTATTTCTTAGTCTTATTCATTTTTCTGTTAATACAGGTATAGTATGGAACAGTATTGCCTTTTTTGACTTTTTCTCCTTTCTATTCGACACTTGTAATTGCAGATAAATTAATTACTGACCCTCAAAAAACAAAAAGATTTATAATTGTTTCCAATGATGATGTATCTACAAAAAAAATTGTTAATTCGAATAAACTTAATACAAATTTTAACATGATTGACTATTGTGAAAGATATTTCATCTCAATCTACTACTTTATCTAATGATATATAACAACCATTGTTAATTAATTTTAAATCAAGATCCAATACTATTCCAAGGTAGGATGATATCAGTTGTTCATTATTACCTTAGAAGACTCGGTTTGTGTCTTCGATAGGAAGAGAAACACCGTTCATTGATTTATTGTGTATTGCTTATTGTATTCTTACATGTAAATTACTTAAACCACCTGAGGAGACTGAAATTCAGTCGAAACGCGTTGTGGTGGTCCTTTTATTTACACTCACCAGCTAAATAATAGAACTATCTGCTGCTTTTGAAATTTAATAGAAATTAATATTTGGAGATGATTTCGTCTTCGAAATTAATTTTTGTTATATTTCAATATGCAGATTATATTAAACCGCCTGACAAGTCCTTGAAATTAGGATGAAACCGGTCGCGGTCGTCTTTCTCAAAACTCAACACCCTCACCCTTATTTGTTGATTATTAATGATGTTCGCTAAGTCTTTTTATTAAAAGTCGTTTCTATATATGTTAAAATGAAATAAAAATTGGTATTTTTTCGTATAATTGTAAGGAAAAGCACAAAAATGAAATTTTTAAAAAATAGAGAAGATAGTTTTTCGTTAAAAAGCAAGAATTACATTAGCAGTTCAAGCATATTTTGATTCTGAATGTTTTTTAATGAAACACATATTGGTTTTTTGTGAAGCATCTCACAGACCGTGATCGACAGAGGTCAAAGATCATCAGATACACTCCCGTATCAATCCCTTAGTAAGGTTTCCTGGCACTGAGGAAAACTACCTAAAGCATAACTTCCATTAGATCCTTTTGAAATTTTCTAGACTCTTCTTACGTTTTCAGTCTTACGAGGGCACTCTTAGATACCAAAGTCTTATCGCAGGAGAGGATCCTTAGTCTAAGGACACCTTTTTATAATAGGTCTTGGGTATCTGAGTGTATCCTCCTGTAACAGGACTTGAGGACCTAAGGGTACTCTTCTATAGTAGGACTTGAGAACATCAGGCTATTTCGGCTGTTAATCCAATATTTCTGGCTGAAATTAAACATGGTAAAATTCACGCAGCAAAAGCAACAGTCCAAACAGCAAACAGCGGAAAATTGAGTATAATCGGAATAGTGATACTTCAGGTCAAAATCAACAACATTGCTACAACAGTTAGAGCATTTGTCATTGAAGATCTGGTAGTGAATTTATTATTGGGTGGTGATTGGTTGGAATTTTGGAAAGCTGATATTAGCTACCACCAGAAGAACATCACAATTTGGAAGAATCGTCAAAATTTCAAAATTCCATTTGAACAACAACCTTGCTCTCAAGCATTTCAGATAACAACAGCAGTCCAATCATCGTTCCTCCAATGTCATCCAAGTTTGTACACGCAACAACAACATCCAACATGAAAGCTCCTAACATGACCTTAGCAGTCTTTACACCATCCGTTAAATTCAAAACAAGACACAAAATCATGGTTCCATATGCATTGGTGAAGATCGAACAAGGCAAAACAATGATATCAGTATTCAACACCACCAACACCCACCAGAAAATTCAAGCTGGCGCAAAATTAGGTGTGATTCAAAATCATTTCGAAGAGATTTGCTATGCTGTCAATCCAAGCCCTTCGTGTCCTACACGATCATTTTCGCAACAGCTGTCTCATTTGACATCTTCTCAACAATTCTCATCGATCACTACATCAGTTGAAAAATTAATTTCTCATTTATCTTCTTCTCAACAACGACAACTTAAACCAATCCTTCTCAAGCATGCCAATGTTTTTGATACATCCAAACCAACAATTGTGAACGTTGGAATTCAGCATAGAATTCCAGTGAAGCCTCACCACCATCCGACTCAATCCCGAGCGTATCGAAAAGCTCCAAAAGAACGTGAAATTGAATCATTGCA